ACATAAATTCACTCTACTCTCAAAAATTATTCGTGAAAATTCAACCCATCTTGTAATGTTTGATGGTGGGGGGTCTATAGAAGATATTGCACGAATTATAAGACAATACATAGAAGAAGATCCACGCAAAGCTTCTAGAGTTATCAATAACTATTTGTGAAATCGTGAATTCATTGTCTTCGACACCACTGTACCAATCTCTGATCCTATGTCAATCAGAGTCGGATGGATGAATCCTCTAGATCTGGAAAAAGAGATCAAGTTATTGCAGAAATAAAAAAAATACCATTTAGCTCAAAAACGGCAAAAAATAAAATTGTTATACTATATAAATTATATTCTATCAATACGAAGACCATACTTATCAATAATATAATTATCATCTGGATTTTTGATACATTTCAGCAACGTATCCCAACTTCCCCAGACAATTTTATAACCTCGTTCTATGAACAACTTGTCAACATGATTTCCTCAATCTTTGTCGTAATTGATGTTTCTTGAAACTTATCCAATCATCCGGAATAGAATATTCCTCATATTCTAGTCTATAATAGAAGGAGAACATATTAAAGTTTTTTTCTTTTTCATACTCTGCAAGAATATTATTACGCCATAGATTAAATTGATCTCGAGTTTGAAGATTTTTTACTTTGCGGGTAGTTATACCTAAAAATTTCTCTTCATCGGGAATAATATCCCCCTTTACGGCATTCCAGACTTTAGCAGCCAATGATTCAGGTCTTTTCTTAAAATTTCTCCAAGCTCTTTGTATGATCCTTGCACATCCAAAATCAGTTTTAGGTTTAGCGCATTCATGATCCCAATGATCTAGCATCAGATCTCTAGTTTTTATAATTTCTATACATCGTCGACGATCAAATATTTTTTTGGGTTTTATATTAACATTAACACGAAAAATTTTCCAACATCCAAAACAGATCGCAGTTCCATTCTTAAGTGGTTTTGGTCTGTAGTAGTTTTGATAATTATTATAATCTTCAAGTCTACCTCCAGGATAAGAAGCGAATAAGCAATATCTATGATACATACCAAGTTTATT